CTTTGCAAAAGACACAAATAGATGAAAAGAGATGCTCAGCATCAGTCACTGAAATTGTCACAAAACCACAATGAAATGCTTCATTGTGTAGTGAACTGTGTATCCACAGGGATGGCTAATAATTTAAGATGATGACACAAATGCTGGCAAAGATGAACATTTGCAGGGTGAGGGCTAAACTAGTCACTTTTAAATTGGGTATTATTATTTATCATTGGTAAAAATGAAGGGAGCTAGGTGGGATGTAGCTCAGTTGGTAGAGTGCATTCTTGGCATGCATGAAGCACTGGGTTCAGTTCCCAGTTGCTGGGGCTGGAGAGATGGCTCAGTGGTTAAGAGCATTGACTGCTCTTGCAGAGGTTTGATTCCCAGCACCCACATGATGGCTAACAACTGTCCGTGACTCTAGTTCTAGGGGAATCTGATGCTCTCTTCTGACCTGGGCACTGTGTGACATGGGTGATAGACATGCAGGCAATACACTCACACATAAAAATAAAAAATTCCCAGTGTTGCGCTACATAGTAAGTTCAAGGCCATCATGAACTACAAGAGACCCTATAACAAAAAAATAGTTACTATGACACAAGTCTATGCAGACACTTTCTCAAGAATGAACAAAGTAAGCCTGTTATTTGAAGGAAAAACAGTAAGTACCAATGACCAAGACTGCTCTGGAGCATCAGGACTCTTTAGCAGGGTGGCCTTACCATTTGGTATTCCTCCACCTGTACATGGTGCTCCACCAGGAAGCCATAGATATCCCCAACACGGATGGTGCTATCCAGGTCCGGCTCCTCTAGGAGCAGCTCACACTGCCTGATCGACTCCTTGGGGTCCTCTGAGTAGGTCCTGCCAGAGGACAGACAAGACCTCAGCTGGATCCAGAATATCCACTGCATCCAAAAGTTAGTAGACGCACCTATCCTACAGGTGTTTTAGATGACATTTTTGTGAAGGTGATTCCTATGAATTAAGTGAATAATTTGTTCACTTAACACTTCATTTAACAAACACTGATCGCCTTCAGTGCTGGGTCTTGTGCTCTGACACCAAGATCTGTTCAGAACAGGCACATTTTGCCCAAGGTAGGAAGAACCTTTTAGTTAAAGATGTTGGCCTTACCATAGACCAGCACACGTGAGCAGACATAGGGGTCTGTGTAGAGCAGAGTCGGATAGTGATTGGACAAAAGCGACGAGCCTGGTGCAAGGTGGGTGACTTGGAGCTGTAAAGGTCTCTGGCTCCAACTTCTGTAGGGTTAGGGCCCATCTGGTCATGCTGACTTAGCTATTCTTAGGAAGTTCCTGGCCTTATTTCTGACCCCTTACTTTCATAGAGTTACTCACCCTGTCCCTTACCTATCTTTTCTGTTCACTTGCTTTGCCCTATGGCTGATGGTCACTTCATGCTGCCAGTGCTCCTCCCCTGTGTCCTGCAGCTTAGGCTGGGCAGAGATGGTCAGATGCATACTCAATTCCACCCAGCCAGGTGGATGGCGCCCTTCCAAGGAGCCCATTATATACATGTTATTTAAAATGCTTTTGAAACTCTGATGAACTTCTCAGATAAGAAAAGCACTTTTGTGTTTGAGCAGAAACAGTCCTGGAAGCTCAATGATGTTTGCTCATGTCATGGTGCCACACAGGGGTTCTTTGAAAAGCTAATAGTATCACATAAAAATGTAGATTCTTGGCTACTACTGAAAAGGAGACAATGTGCTGTCACCCAGGCCTCTCCCCCACATGCCTGGAGCCAGGTAACTGCTGGAGAGGTGAATACCATGATACCCAGAGTCCCTGTTGCACTGTGATGCACAGTGGTCCCTCACTTGGGATATCCATGTTTGGCCTATGACCAGGTCCAAGGCTCTCTTCAACATATCTACTGATTTGAACCAGTCTCATCCTCCTTCCCTCCCCCCATCAATCTCTCAATGTCTCTGGAACAAATCTCCATGATGGCACTGAGATTCTGAGGTCGTTCCCTGAGGGGAGCTCAGATATGTCAGGCAACTAGCTGTTCAAGGAATTATCCCTAAAGAGTATCTGTTTGAAACACAGCTTGGTCTGATCTATTGAAATCAGCCTGAATACTTGTGGACTAGAGAGTCATGGGATATAAACAGAAGGCCTGAGAGACACAAGAGGGCTTTCCAGGCTAGCTTGCCACCACCCTCCTGCCCTCTGCTCCTCTAGGGGACACACCTGCGGGCTTGGATGAATCTCTTCACTAGCGTCATCTTGCTTTGCAGCTGGGCTAGCTTGGTCTCCTGGTCCAGGGGGCTCTTAGCCTTGGCCTTTGACAGGCATTTATAGGCCTCAGTTAGCGCTCCATGGGCCTTGTCATAGTTTTGGTATTCATCAATCTCCACCTGTACCAAAGAGACCCATGAGGACCTAGGGGGCTCTGCTGTGCTCCCACAAGCCCTGCTAGAACCCTGAAGAGGGTCTGTACCTGGGCACAGGCATCATAGAAGCCAGCCAGGAGGTCTAAGGCCCGTCCCTTGGTGTAGAAGCTGATAATATTCTTCATGATCTCTGGATCCTTCCGCCAGTCCAAGGACTGCAGGTAGTTGGCAGCCATGATGTAGATTTCCTTCTGTCTTGAGACGCCCGCAAAGAACACAATTTTCTCTGTGTCTCCAGACTTGAGCAGTGATCTCATGGCCTAGGCAGAGAAAGGGCTGGGGCTCAGTTGAGCAGGTTTAGGTCTGGAAAAATTTCAGGGCAACAGCAGTTTGCTGATGGGAACCAATGCTGCGAGTGTAGCTTCACCAGAAGCACTATCATGAGAAACTGGCCATGCTGCCCAGCCCTTCAAAGTTCTGGCCAAGAAGGCTGTTCCCTTGCTCAGGCTATTCAGAGGCAAGGTGCAGTAGCATGGTGTGTGCCAAAATGCCCCACACATGGCTTAGCTGAGATGCAGGCAGTCTGGGCAGACTCACCTTCAGCTTGTTCCCAGCCTGTGTGTATTTCTTGGTGGCCAAGTGATAGTTGCCCTGGCGCATACAGCAGTTCGCAATCTGCTCTAGCAGTTCACGCCGTGACTCCTCAGTCAAATCCTTGGAGTCCTTGGACACAGTCATCTTCTCAGCCATCTCCTCAGTGATGGTCATGTTCTGTTCTAGGCACAGCTGCAGAGCCTCATGATACTGTGAGAGTACCAGAAAAACAGAGCAAGGCTGTAACTCTGAACTGCTGAGACAGCAGAGGGTGCAGGTTTCCTTTCACATCTGCCATCCCTTCAGAGGAAGCTGGGCCCCACAGGCTGGCCAATGACTGTGGCAGAGTCAGACATGGAAAAGACAAAGATATTTCATCCCAACCTAAAAGACACAGACTCAAACATGTTACTTTCAAACAAGTAACAAACATGTTACTTGTTATTAAGGGTCCATAACTGAGGCTGGGCATAGTGGCACATACATGTAATACCAGCACTTGGGAGGCAGAGGCAGGCAGATCTCTGTGAGTTCAAGGCCAGCCTGGTCTACATAGTAAGTTCTAGGACAGCTGGGGCTACAGGGAGACCCTATCTCAAAAAGAGACCAAAAAAAAGAGTCCATAACTGAGAAGAATAACGTATTTGCTATGGAGAAAAATCCTCAACAATGTACATACTTAAATTAAAAAATACTTCAAGGGCTGGGCGTGGTGGTGCACGCCTTTAATCCCAAAACTCGGGAGGCAGAGGCAGGTGAATCTTTGTGAGTTCGAGGCCAGCCTGGTCTACATAGTGAGTTCTAGGACAGCTAGGGCTACAAGGAGACCTGTCTCAAAAAAGACAAAAAAAATAAATAAATAAAAATAATACCTTAAGGGCTAGCTCAACAGTTAAGAACATTTGTTGCTCTTGCAGACCTGGTTTCAGTTCTTAGCACCCACACATCAGCTCATAACCTTCTATAACTCCAATTCCAGGTGATCCAACATCCTCTCTGGGTGGACACCAGACATACATATAGTGCATACATATAGTGCATACATGCAAGCAAAACACTCATAAAATATAAATAAATCTTAAAAGAAAAACAAAAACAGCCAGGCATGGTGGCACAGGCCTTTAGTCCCAGCACTTGGGAGGCAAAGACAGGTGGATCTCTGTGAGCTGGAGGCCAGCCTGGTCTACAGGGAGACCCTTTCTCAAAAAGACCAAAATATGCCGGGCATGGTGGCACGCCTTTAATCCCAGGACTCGGGAGGCAGAGGCAGGTGGATCTCTGTGAGTTCAAGGCCAGCCTGGTCTACATAGTGAGTTCCAGGACAGCTAGGGCTACAGAAAAAGACCAAAAAAAAAAAAAAAGAGACCAAAATAATAAAAAATAAATAAATTTCTCTGTGATTACTTGTTTATTTCATTAGCATTAAAAAAAAAAAAAAAAACTTCAAGGAGCTGGAGAAATGGCCCAGCAGTTAAGAGCACTGGTTAAACTTGCAGAAGACTCAGGTTAGGTTCTCAGCATTCACATGATGGCTAACAAGTCTTTAATTCCAGTTCCAGGGGATCCAATGCCCGTTTTTGGCCTAAAGAGGCACTGCATGACATGGGTGCACTTACATACATGCAGGCAAAACACTCAAATATAAAATAAATAAAAAAAAACCCAAGTACTTCAAATCCAGCTGTGGTAGTACATACCTAAAATCTCAGCACTTAGGAGGCTGAGGCAGGAGTTGAGTTAGTGGTCAGCTTGAGCTTGAGCTGAAGCAAAAGCTTGAGCTTGAAGGAAAATAAGGGTGGGTGTGATGGCATATACCTTTATTCCAGCACTCAGAGGGCAGAGGCAGGCAGATCTCTGTTGAGTTCAAGGCCAGCCTGGTCTACATAGTGAGTTCCAGGCCAGCTGGGGTTACAGGGAGACCCTATCTTAAAAAGAACAAAACAGCCAGGCGTGGTGGCACACGCCTTTAATCCCAGCACTTGGGAGGCAGAGGCAGGCAGATCTCTGTGAGTTCGAGGCCAGCATGGTCTACATAGTGAGTTCCAGGACAGCTGGGGCTACAAGGAGACCCTGTCTCAAAAAAGACAAAAAAAAAAAAAAAAAAAAAAAAAAAAAAAGAACAAAACAAAACAACCTCCCTTCACCAGACTATGTTGGGCATGTTGGCATGTGCCTATGGTCCTAGCTACTTGGGAGGCTGAGGCAGAAGGATTACTTGAAGCCAGAAGTTTGAGGCCAACTTGGTTCAAACCCCATCTCAAAAGAAAAATATCTAGGTACAGGGGCACAAGCCTTTAATCCCAGCACTTAGAAGGCAGAGGTAGGCTGATCTCTGTGAGATGGAGGCCAGCATGGTCTACATAGTGAGTTCCAGGCCAGTCAGGGCTACAGGGAGACCCTGTCTTAAAACAAAAAAGGCAAAACAAAACAAATAAGCAAATAAACCCAAACATAGGATATTTATGATGTGTGCATTTTACTGTTCATGCATGTATACACTTATTGATATATACACATATACAGAGTTGACTCCCTGGCTAGATCTGAAGACATGTGGCGTAGGTGGTAAGGCTGCCCTCAATAGCAGCAGTCTTGGTGAACTGTGCTGAGTAAACTTCTAGGACATCCCTCCATTTCTAGCCCAGGTGGTAGCCATGGCTTTTCCTGAGAAATTATAACCAAGAGAGACAGCAGAGCCATTCCCCACTCTGCAGTTCCCACTAGCCCTTACCTTCTTGGCAGCCAGCAAAAGCTCCACAGCCTTCTCAAACTGCTTGTGCTTGATGCAGAAGTCTGAGCAGCGGGCCAGAAGAGCAGGATCTGACTTCTCATCCAGGTCCTCTGCTATGAGCTGTAGGGCTGCAAACTGCTGGGTGGCAAAAGCCAGCTCCAAGGCCTTAGAGAAGTGTCCAGCCTATGAGCAATGGTGGAACCTTAGATGCTGCTTGAGCCCCAAGATCCCAAGACTTTGCCCAGCCAGGTCCCCTGAAGCTTCACAAAGGTAAGTGCCTCTTGTCTCTGCAGGGGCCTATTGGCCTCCCCCTCAGGTCTCAGGGCAGGAGCTATCTGCAGGTCCCCAACTGAAGCCAAGCCCTCACCTTGTGATAGAGCATGACAGCCCTGTCCATCTGCTCTCCCTTCTCCTCATAGTATCGGGCTGCCTCAATCATGTCCTCTGGGGAGCTCAACAGGGCCAAGTTCATGAGCTGGTCGTCTAGGCAGTTTTCCTGTAGGGAGGAAGGTGAAGCTTTGCAGGTAGTTTTGTCTGGCACGTGTTAAGGTTCAGATAGCCCTGCCCCCTCACCAACAGGGTCTCAAGGACTTCTCAAGCTCCTGAGAAAAGGGAACCAAGCTGATAAGCACCCTGGTCTTTGAAGTCAAGAGAAGCAGACTTTTCTCCACTGTTTGGCCAATACAGCAGGCTTCCCCTTTGATCTCTAAAGAGGACAGGTTTTAACAGTTCTGCTCTCCCACTCCCCACCCCCCAACTTTAAAAAAAATACATCTTCCCACCTTCTGCAGGAAGCAGAAGCCTCCCCCTTAAAAAGACCCCAGCTCACAACCTGGGCAGACATTTTCCCTGCCTGGAAGGGAATCTGTCTCATGTGTTCTTTTGCTAATAAACTCTATTCCGATGGAGTCTTATCTGTGTCCTGGTACATTCTCCTGATCAACTGGATTCATCCATAGGCTACTTTTTAATCTATCAAATGGTGCCGAAACCCAGGCCTTACTTCAAGGGACCCACCTGGACTTCAATGCCACTAACTTGGCTTTCAGGTACACTTCTTTTCTCTCTCCTCCTCTCCCCAGCCCTCTGCTTTGCTTTCACCTCTTTCTGGCTCTCCTCACTCAGTAACACACTCTGCCTTGCCTGCATCTTCTTTTGATCTCCTTTCCCATTGATTTTCATCAGTCCCAGGCAGCACTATGGTCTCTGTGATGGAACTGCTTCATCTGTTTGCTACCTTGGTTCCCCCGCCCACTGCTCGCCACCAGCATACCCCCACCCCTGCCCCGCCATGGGCCTGCAAGGTCTGTTGTCTTCCATCTTTTTTTCCTGTTTTTATCCTCTTCCACTGCCTTTCTTCCTCACCTTACTCAGGATGATTTCTGATACCATTCAATCCAACACATACAAATGCTCTGTATCCTTCTCCTCTCTCTCCGCCTCCCATACTAAAGCTTTTTACTCCCCTCCAAGTGCTGGCCAGCCCACCACATGTCTGACCTCCCATGCAGGCTCTAAACTTACATGACCACGAGGCTTTTCCTTCCCACTATTTACCCCCTCCAGGTAGCTGCCAAGATTGCCAGCTCACCTGCCCTGGGGATTTTTTTCTTTAACATTCTAATGAAATGTTAAGTTTCCAGCTGATCCCATTCTTAAATTCTCTTATAAACTTGGCTAAAAACCCTTTAGGGGACCCTTTCTCCCCATTTTTGACCCAACTAGCCTAAACCGGCTGGGCAACTTTCCTGGACCATTTAAACAATTTCAGGCGGCTTGCCCCATTGACAATAAAAAAAACGTTTCAAAGGCCTTTTTTTCTCCTAAACTTTTTCTCAGGCAAAGGGGCTCAAAATTTTGATCTTAGGCCCTCTTGGGCATCAAGCAACTGGTGCTCAGGTGCCTACTTTCACTATACATAAACGGTCACAGGCACTGCTCAGGCAAGTCATATGCTTTCAGACCAACAAACACTGATTTCTATGTCCTGTTCCTTCTGCTGCCTTCATGAGTTTCCTTTTGGGCATAGCTTGTGTCTAGAAATTCAGAGATCCTGAGAACTTGGCTTCCCATTCACAGCTACAATGGTTAGTGAGGGGGCAGGGCTATCTGAACCTTAACAGTGCACAGATGTAAGCACACCTCCCTTCAGTTTGGTGTCACTAGGGGATCTGTGCCATTGGTTTTTTTGTTGTTGTTGTTTTGGGGTTGTTTTTTTTTGCCATTTTTTTTAAAGAGTGCCAAGCCTTACTAGGTTTGTCTGCATACCAGGAATTTTTGTACCAGGACTTTCAGATGTTTTTTGCTATATAATACAGAGTACTGCAAGAAATGCCTGGGGTGGAGATAATTAAAGAAACAAAACTGGGGGATGCACTCATAAAAATGCCAATTGTTTACATGAAGTGTCTATCTATTTGCAAAGCTGTAGCCTCTGAGCCAGGCCACTACTACTGGTTGAGGAGCATGACAACTCAGTGTCTGGCAAACCACCTTAACTGGAGTAAAGAGGAAAGGGAGAAGGGCAGGGAGAGCCAGAAGTGAGTATGGACATCACAGTGACTATCAGCCTTCATGATGCAAACTTCTTAACCTCTGTGTTTGAAGTACTGTGCTGAATAGCTTCAGTTGTCAACTTGACACACTTGGGAAGAAGGAATCTCAATTGGGGAATTTCCTCTATTAGGGAATTTCCTCTATTGGGGAATTTTCTCTATTGGACTGGCCTGTGGGCATGTCTGTAAGGCATTTTCTTGATTGTTGAGTAATTTAGGAGGGCCCAGCCCACCATGGGTGGTGCCATCCCTGAGCAGGTGGTCCTGAGTTGTATAATAAAGCAGGCTGAGAACCAGCTAGGGGAGCAAGCCAGTAAACAGTGTTCCTCCATGGTTTCTGCTTCAGCCCCTGCCTCCAGGTTCCTGCCCTAGTTTCCCTCAAGGATAAACTGTGATTCAGATATGTGAACCAAACAAACTCCATCTTCCCATCTTCCTCAAGTTAGTTTTGGTCAGTATCACAGCAACAGAAAGCAAAAGCAAATTAAGACAAGCACTGTTTTTTTTTTTGGGGGGGGTCTTTTTGAGATAGGGTCTCCCTGTAGCCCAAGCCTGCCGGGAACTAACACAGATCCGCCTGCCTCTACCTCCCAAGGGCTGGGACTAAAGGTGTGTACCACCACACCCAGCAAGACAAACACTCAATAAAACTCTGAAAATAGTAACAGAGCACAACCTGCCTCCTGCCCAAGTAGAACCACATACCTTGCACAGGCGGATTGCATTGTTGAAGGCCTGTGCCCGTGTGTAAAAGTGTACTGCCTGTTTCACCTCCTCCTGGCTCTCGTACTGCCGGGCAAGGTGGTAGGATGCAGCCCAATCTCCAGTCTCGTTGGCTATTTCAGCAGCCTAGGAAGATCCAGAGCACCCAGGTCTCACATCTTTTGGGTAACCTTATCCACCCAAGCAGGCTCGTACTAACAGGATGGACTAACCTCTCTCTTTTTAAAAAAATATTTTATTATTTGTATGTATATGAATGCATTGCCTGCACATAAGTGAGTGCACACATATGGTGCAATAACACGGAGGTCAGAAGAGGGTTTCAGATTCCCCTGGAACTGGAGCCAAGGATGGTTCACAGCTGCCATGTGGGTGCTGGGAATTGAACTCGGGTCCTCGGCAAGAGCAGTTGGTGCTCTTAACTGCTGAGCCATCTCTCCAGCCCCCTAACTTCTCTTTTAAAAAATTAAAAAAAAAAAATAAAAGATTTTATTTTTATGGTGTGTAAGTGCAATGCCTTCAGAGGCCAGAAGAGGGCATCAGATCTCTTTGAGCTGGAGTGAGTGGTTGTTGTTAGTCAGCCCACATTAGCGCTGGGATATATTTTATTTTTTTGTGATGCAGGGAATCCAACTGAGGGACTCATGTATACCAGGCAAATACTCTAACTCCCAACCTGCTCTCACCTTATGAATGTTGCCCTGGAAGCAGTGAATGCGAACCAGGGAGAAGTAGTCCTGTGCCAGCTCATAGTAGCGCAGTGCAGTGTCCATCTCTGCTTGACTCTCAAGGTATTGGGCCCACCACCTCCACAGCGTCCTATGGGGTGGCCCTCAGGGTTGAGGATCTCATTCCCATTGGAACTGACACCCTGTACCACCACCACCACCCCTAGACATGCGTGGGAGATGCATGCAATTGGAAGGGACAGGTCCAGGGTCTGTCACAGGGCCAGCACTAGGACCAGGAGGATTGTCCCCTACTCTGACATGGAACACCACCCAGCCAGAACTCATGGCTAACTTGGATAACTGAGAAGTGATATCCTGCTGGGGACACTTACTTGTCTTTCATTCTATTGATGTAGAGCTCCAGGGACTGCAGGTCTTCTGAAAGCATCCTGGGTACCTCGAAACGGTGGGTATCTGACTTTTCATAGCTGAGGAAGGAGGAAACCAAAGGACTATGTTCCTTCCCGTTTTGCCTCATGATCGGGGGCTCTATCACAGAGTGCAGGGAGCATGTACATGGCCTGAAGCCCTGGGTTCTGTGCACTGTTGAATATTCTGTGGTATGTGGGCTCAGGGTGTGAGACACACCTCAGGGTTTCTCATTCAAATTCTAGATCACAGAAATGAATCTAAGTATAGCTCATGATAGCTTTGGAAAGGGCTGTTTTGTAGCCAGATCCTTAGAGGTAACACATTTGTTCTCAGGGGTCCCCAAATCTGATGTATGCGACACTGACTGGACATAGAAAGTCAGACATTCTATCCCACCACCACAGAACCCAGGCTCCTGTGACACACAGGCTGTCCTGAGGTAAATCTTTTAGAACTGCCAGGGCCACCTGATCAAGGCAGCAACTGCTGGGGCCCATCCTTGCCCAAGCCCCACTCACTAACTGAGGGCCAGGCCACAGTCGGCGCTGGCTTCCAGGTGCTTGGCATAGTTGTAATATGTAGTGCGTAGGTGGACACGGTCGTAGAGCTCAGCCACCTCCACAGCTTTCTGCCACTGGTTGGAGGCCTGATAGAACTTGTTCAGGAGATCATAGCGCTTGCATTTCTTGTACAGTTGCTCAGCATCCTCCTAAGGGTAAATAAAGAAGGATTCTTCATCAGTCACAGTGCTGATGCTTTGGAAAGACCATTCTTGGAGAGTGGGTGATAGTCACCAGGAGTGTCATTGCTGTGAAGCTCACTGTACAGGAGAAGGTGGGCAGAGCAACAGCTGCCCCCATAAGCTCATGAGACATACAGCATTTCTCATGGACACACACTTTAGATGCATGTGGATACTATACAGTGAAGACAGGCAACATGCATCCAAGTGACATTCCAGTCACTCGTTGGAGAGTGAGACCTGTGTATTGCCAAATATCTAAGCCTGCTATAGCCCAACCAGTCTCTGGTATGGTTCTGCGGAACTCCTGTGCTCTCCTGCAAATGAGGAGGTCCTCTGGGGTGGGTTGCCTGTCTACCAATTCCCTGTTTAGAGGTCTATCCCCTACACCCACATGTGTACCAAGTTCTCCTAATGATGCAGCCTCCAACTTTTGGGAAGTTGTCTTTGGGTCTCTCTGGAAAAGTATGCAGTGAGCTCTAAGACCCAGACCAGAGGCTTCAGAGTCACCTTAAGGACCCAACCTGATGGTTTAGGCTAGTTTGAGGGGCTTCTGCTTACAACTAAACACCTGACAAGCACACCCTCTCTCCCCTCTGTAGGCACCAGGTCTCAAGAGACCAGCCGTCAGACTACCTGCCTATCTGCCAGCCACCCCATCTCCTGAGGTTTCTACCAGACTCCAGTTGAGAAGGGTCCATGCTCTACAGCCTCTGCCCTCTTTATTGCAGACAGGCTCAGCTTGGCAATGTGGTGGGAGTGGCCACCCTCCTCTCTACACCCAGGTGATGTCTGTCTGAGGCTGGGTCCACTCACCAGCATGCCCAATTGTATGGCCAACATGGCTACTCTGGCTTCCAGCTCTGGCTCCTGTTCAGCCTCCCGCAGTGCTCGAGCCCCTCGGGCATGACCCATGTTCCCTAGGCACACCTTGGCGACATCCAGCCGCTGATTCTTCACACACATGCGTGCCATATTCTTCCAGACAGTCTCACTGTAGACAGACAGGAGGCCCTGTCAGGTTTCAGCCCAGGGCTTGGGCTTCCAAAAAGTCCCTACCTCAGCATCAGTTAATGCACATGGCCACCAAGAAGGGGGCCATACATGACATTGTCTGGCCAACACACTAAGACTGCAGACCAGGTACCATATGTACATTACTCCAAACAAAGGAAGGGGAGATGTCTTAAGCTTCCCTCTGACATGTCTCCAATGGCCTTCTTGGTTTTTTAAAAAATTTTATTATTTTTATTTTATGCGTAGGCATGTATTGCCTGCGTGTAGGTAAGTGCACCTGTGTCATGCAAGGGTAGAAGAGGCTGTTGGATCCCCCGGGACTGGAGTTACGGACAGTTGTTAGCTGCCGTGGGTGCTGGGATTCGAACCCAGGTCTTCTGCAAGAACAACCAGTGTTTTTAACGGCTGAGCCATCTCTCTAGCCCCGCCTTCTTGGTTTTGAAAGCCTCTGGGGATGACACAGAGGACAAATGGTCTTCTGAAACTCCTTTGCCCTGTTACTTTGCTCAGTAAGCTGGCTTTTCCTAATTGTGAGCACACACTGAGACAGGTCAAAGACAGAACCTGTTGGGGCTGGAGAGATGGCTCAGTGGTTAAGCATACTGACTGCTCTTGCAGAGGACCTGGGTTCAATTCCCAGTACCCACATGGCAGCTAACAACCATCTGTAACTCCAGTTCCAGGGAATTTGATGCCCTCTTCTGACTTCTGTGGGCATTGCATGACACAGGTGCACTTAAATACTTAAACATATAAAATAAAAATAATGAAATTTTTTTAAAAATAAGAAAAAGGCCAGGCGTGGTAGTGCACGCCTTTAATCCCAGCACTTGGGAGACAGAGGCAGGCAGATCTTTGTGAGTTCCAGGCCAGCCTGGTCTACATAGTGAGTTCCAGGACAGCTGGGGCTACAGGGAGACCCTGTTTCAAAAAGACAAAAGAAAGAAAAAAAAGAAAAAAAGACAGAACCTCTTGCTCACAATGGAACAGGGAGTTCCAGAGAACTTTCATAAATCAATCCCAGTGGTGAGGATGCTACAGAAAGAGGGGGCCATGATAGCCTCTTCAGACAGTCAGATGGTAGTGTCTAGGAATGCAGGGTGAAGGGGGTCCATAACCCCATCACAATCTGGGGACCAGGAACAGAGCTAGGCTCACAGCCAGCCCCTGAGGTGGGGCTAGTCAGTGAACCCTCCCTTGTCCCTCATTCTGAGGTGGTCTACAGTGAGCCAACCTTCCTCAGAGAGCCTCTTCAGACTCTGGTATTGTCCAGCACAGACAGCTGCTTGACGCCTCAGACACAGCCTTTTGTAAACATACAGCTTAGGGCAAACACCAAACCAGAATGGCAAAGGGGACAAGTTTACTTTCCACATTGTCTCCTTTCTACTTAAGTTGGACTAGGTTTTTGTTTTTGTTTTTGTTTTTTGCCTTTTTCAGACAGGGTCTCCCTGTAGTCCCAGCTGGCCTGGAACTCACAGAGATCCACCTGCCTCTGCCTCCCGAGTGTTGGGATTAAAGGCATGCACCACTATGCCGGGCTGGACTAGGTTCTTATTCTAAGACCACAGCAGTGCTGTAATACACACAGGCATACACATATACATGGACACTCTCACAAATGCTTGTGTAGACACATGCACCCATGCATGCACACACACTCGCAGCAAACCCTGAGGAGTTGAGGCTTCAGAGGACGTGGGGACAGGGGTGTCACTATGGAAGCATTCATCTCAGGCCCTCCCATCACATTCCAGTGACTATATTCAGATAAAGCCTGGCCACAGCTGCAGTTTCCTCCCAGGAGGTGGAGCAGGTCTGTCCTTTCCTAACCTCACAGATTCAGCAGAACTAAGGAACTTGGAGGATAGCTGCCTGAGAGGCCAGCTGCTATTCTGGTGAGTGAAGGCACTGGGGCCTACAGTACAAGTGTCCTGAGCATTTTTCTAATGATCTGTCCAGGGAGGGGGAAGAGGGACTTCTCCAGAGCACAGCTATCAGGCCTAGTCATACTATGGGCAGCACCATGACCACATGGATCCACATCTGAAGTTTCTTGATTTGAACAGAAGTAAAAGTGGCTCCCATGATGGAGGCACGGGTGGCCACTACTGGAGGAGGGTATCTATGGTTGAAATTCTACATATCCTAATGCTCTTTTCCTACAAGCCAGCATTTTTTTTTTTTTTTTAACGTGCCTGGGTCCTGCTAGAACTCTGGTTGCCTAGATAGATATGTGCACCAAGTTACAGGAGGGCAGGCATGAGCTATGTATTTTAGCAGTGATAGCTCTGGTGGCTACTACCTGGGGAGGCCTGGCCAGAGTTACAGGGTAGCAACATGGGGCCAAGGTGTTGTATTGAGAGAGGGGTAACTGTCTGCCTAACCCCAGCCCAGGACCAGCTAGCTAGGGAGGGCTTCTATCTACCCCCAATGAAAGCTCCCCAGCCTCATCCTTCCACTGCCTCTCCTGGGACTTCTCACACTCTGCCCTGCAATTTCCACGACACTTGAGAGCTGTTGAGAAGATGACACACAGGCTGGGCTGGGGACCTCTAAGAGGTACAGCACCATCCTGACTTATTTCTCTGGCAAGTAGATGCACTGTGCTATGCCTTTGAATTCAAATGACTCACAGTAGCTGTGAGGCAGCAGATGCAGCAAAAACTGCTCAGTGCCACATAGCCAGAGCCCAGAGTAACTTCTTTACAGGAGCCATTGCTATGATCAGATACATCAGTGTCAGAGGTTATTTGGGGGCTTTAAGCAATAAATCACAGTCTTAACATTTGAACTCTCTACCCTCCTTTTTTGTAGACCTTCACAGGGATTCTGGACCCTATCCTAAGACCCTGTGGGATACCTGTCAGTGCTGTAGACAAAGGTTCTCTAAGTCACTGTTGGCCCTAGAGATGTCAGCTAGTCAAGTGCGGCCCAGGGGTAAGTTTGGAATTGCAAAAGAAATGCTGTTTCTCCCAGCACAGCTCCAGTAAGCCTACAGAACTTTTAGAACAGACAGGGCCTTCTCAGGTGCTCAGTGCTCTAGGCCTGCTGGGTTAGCTGCGTGCTACTGTGTCTCTAGTAAGATGGTAGTTAGATATGAGGCCTTCTTTTATCATCCTGCTCCAAACTAGTTCATGTGATTAGAACCTATGATTTATTTTAAAACTTTTTTTTGAGACAGGGTCTCACTACATAGCCTTGGCTGACCTGGAATTCACTATGTATACCAGGTTGGCTCCCCAAGTGTTGGGATTAAATGTCTATGACACCACACCTGGTTCTAGAACATTAAAAAAAATGGTTTACCCTCATTGCCTCCTGAGACCTGGGTGTGGAAGCTAGAGGGAAGGGAAGACTTGGCCTTTTGTCTGCCTCAATCTAAGTCAGGGTAGTTTCCTTTCTAATGCATCATTTGGAAAGCAAGTGGCTGTGTCCGAATCTAGTGATAGGAGAAAATAACCTAAATAAATGCAGTCACTGGCCTTGTGGATAGAACTGGCTGGTATGTGCCCCAGGATCTCCTATCTCCCGTGGGAGGGTGTGATCAAGGCCAGTGTCTGGCCCTTTTGCTGAGGGACAGACAGGCATGGAGACTTGTCTTGGTGTTGCTGTGCTTCCCTGGCCCTGTAAGTGACAAAGATCTGTTCATATCACTGAAATTCTCAGCTATTTTCACACTGGCCTCTGCCCGAGAATGAAGCCTCTATTGAGCAGGGGTTCTGAAGATCATGTGTTGGAAGACAGCCCCCAGCCAGGCAGGAAGTCTAGAGGGTCCCTTACAGGACAACAAAAGCCCTCTTCTGCTGGCTTGGGGCCACTATGCACCAACCATGGAGAAGGCAGGGCTACCAACTCCTGGAAGAGCCTGGCACCAAGAAATGGCTGCCAGCATACTCCACAAATGCATGCTACATCCTCTGTAGCTGCCTCTAGCCCAGGATCATTTCAACCCCTACACAATTCCTGACAGCCATACACAACTCCCCAACAACCCCACTCTTCCCAGCTCTAATTCCAATGCATCTGGCATAAATTCCAAGATGCAAATACTCTCCTAGCCCCATCCAAGTCTTCAGAATGTCCTGTTATCTGAGCTACTCTGTGGCAAGGGATCACATCTGCACTTCATCAGTTCCCAAGCGCCTAGAATGAGAAGCAGATGTGGCCAGGGAGAGAGCTGGCTCTGCCATGAGCCTGGTTTCTGGGAGGACCCGTGTTCTACTGAATCTTAGTTGGACCTGTCCTGAGTGAGGACATTGGGCAGTTAGGAGACTAGCAGACTGATCTGTACAATGTATATTCACCTTTGCTGAATCTTGCTGTTGCTTCTCTGCTTTCTGTATGCTCCTTGCTTGTCCAAGTACAGGAGGACTAGATGAGTGTTTAGAAGCTACAATACCAACTGAAGGCAGCAGAGAGCAGGGAGAATAGGAAGGAGCCCTTCCTCCATCCTGGTTTTGGGTCCCTTGGGTGGGACACTTGCTACCAGTAGTATGAGAGCCTTGTATCCTCTACAAACAGTATCACACCTCAGCAGAGGTACCTCCTAACTCCATCTCTCCCCGTCTACCCTCCCACACAGCCAAACAGAAGGCTGAGGGTACAGACACCCAGAGATCCAAAAATACAGGCTGGACAGACACGAACCAGGCTTTGGCCTCCTCCCCACCCAGCCCAGGAAAGGAAAAACAGTGTTAGCTCAAGAGATACATTTAAGATGATCAGACTTATCCTCATAGCCTGTTGTACCAGATACTCAGAAGGATGAGGCAGAATGATTATTTAATTCTAGGAGTTCAAAAACCTTAAAAGTTTTCGGGGTTTGAGGTCCAGAGAGATGGCTCAGTGGTTAACAGTGTGTACTGCTCTTGCAAAGGACCTGGGTTCAGTTCTCAGCACCCATGTTGGGTGACTTACAATCACCTGTTAGTCCAGCTCCAGGGGATCTGACATCCTCTGCTAGACTCCTCCAACACTTGAACTCACGTTTATACACACACACACACACATGCATAATTAAAATAAAACTTTAAAAGTTTTCATGGTTTTTCACGGTGTGAAACTACATAACTGGGGCCGGGATGGTAACGGCTGCACCAAGGGGCTGCACTGCAGGGAGGCTGGGCTGTGACTGCTGGCCATGACCACCACCACCTGCTCTGTGTGGCCCCTTGGCTCCACCTCAGCCATGATGATTCACGGCTTCCAGAGCAGCCACCAGGACTTCTCCTTCGGACCCTGGAAGCTGACAGCTGCCAAGACCCACATCATGAAGTCTGCAGATGTGGAGAAGTTAGCTGATGAATTGCATTATGCCATCTCTCCTTGAAATGATGTTTGGAGACATTTTAAGGGTCCAGCATGGCTCTGGCTTTGGAATTGAGTTCAATGCTACAAACGCACTAAGATGTGTAAACTACCACCAAGGAATGCTTCAATTGGCTTGTGCTGAAGAGTGGCAGGAAAGTAGGACAGAGAATCCTCCAAAGAAGTTATTAAACCATGTGATTGGACCTATACAATAGATTATAAAGGAATATTACTTGGAGAACCTCTTAAGTTGAAGGTTGTACGTACAAGGGATCGCAGAGATACAGAGAAATAGAAAGCCAGAGAACAGATTAAATTTTTTGAAGTTCTTCTATTTGAAGATGAACTACATGGTCATGCAGTTTCCAGCCTGAGTGTGAAAATTAGAGTAATGCCTTCAAGTTTTTTTCCTGTTGTTTTGGTTTTTCATGGGAATTGATGGGGTGCTTATCAGAATGAATGACACGAGGCCTATATGTTACGAGAACATATATCATGAGAGAGCAAAATTGCTAATTTAATGCATGTTCCACCGTCCCTCTTCACAAAACCTAATGAAATATCACAATACTTACCAATCAAGGAGGCAGTTTGTGAGACGCTAATATTTCCAGAAAGAATTGATCCTAACCCTGAAGACTCACAAGAAAGTACACCTGCAGACTAGAAATTGGTACAATACCTTCTTGCTGTGGAATCTCACAACTTGGCCATTCACAGGGGGTATTCATTATGAGAATTAATTCCCTAATGTAAAGATTTTCTGTAGCTTTAAAGGAAATCAAAAATAAAAGATTGTTGTAGGCAGGTTCCATTCAACTGCTAGTTGTACTGTCAGTCTTCAAATTCATACTCCAGATTACATGCTCTGGAGGTACATTTGGATTCCTGAGTAATCAGCCACAGTGGTGTGTATGTCTCAGCAGTGGCCATGATCCGCATCCATTATGAAGCACTGCCTTCTACTGCGAAGAGGTTAATTTGTAAATTATCACTGAATCCCAATGCCAAGTGACTTTCATGGGGTTCTTGATCTTGCACGTTGATGTCCAGTGCTTGATCTTTGCTTTGGGCTCTCTGGTGTTTATTCACCCTTCTGGAGACTTGTGACTTGTCACCTAGGAAAATTAATCTTAAGACATTCACTAGTTGGAGTTTCTGGACAATATCATATTGCTTGTGTGTTTATACGCACATGTATTTTTTTTTCTTTTTCTTATCTGTATTTACCTTTTGAAGAATGTGACTTGAGCACTCCACTTCCATTATTCACAAGCCTCAATGAATTACAAGACCTAGGGAAGCTTGGGGTTTTGTTCTTACACTTTGGAAAACAAGCCATGTGGGGATTCCTTCCATCAAGCTGTTTCTGCTTACATACTTATTTCTAGGACTAGTACATGCAGAGTAACTACAGGGGACGGAAACCTTACAGAAATTCTAGAAGAGGAAACTCAAGCGATTCGAACAAATTTCTTTTAAACATGAAGATGTATCTCGGAACACTTTATTGACAAGTGACTTTGGTCTACTAAGGAATCCAGCTTGATAGCTAAACACTTCAGACCACAGTAGGTTATATTACACCCTACAACAAACTAACATGTTAAAAGTAAGCCAAGGTGAAATTGGAAAAAGCATGGCTAGCTTCACTTACTGCCTAAGGGATCACAGTATCACTTCAAGGTAGAAGGAAATCTATCTTCATGCCACAGAGGTTCTTAAATGTTAACAAAAATAAACAAAAAATCCTGGAAAATATATTATTGGAAGGAATGAAGGTAAGTATTGAAATGTGGTGCAGTTCAGTCCACTTCTTCCATTCGGGAGGTATCATCTCCTTCAAGGGGCAGCATTTCTTCAGTCACAGCAGCACTGGTCTCATCAGGAGTGGGATCATCCTCATCAATACCTAGACCGAGTTTGATCATCCTGTAGATCCTGTTAGCATGTGTCTGGGGATCTTCCAGACTGAAGCCAGAAGACAGAAGTGCAGTTTCATACAGCAAGATGACCAGATCCTTCACAGACTTGTTATTCTTGTTGGCCTCTGCCTTTTGCCTTACGGTCTCAATAATGGAGTGGTCGGGGTTGATCTCCAGGTGCTTCTTTGCTGCCACGTAGCCCATTGTGGAGTTGTCTGTTAATGCTTGAGCTTTCATGATTATTTCTGTGTTAGCCGTCCACCCGTATGTACTTGTGATGCTACAGCAAGGGGATGTCACCAATCTGTTTGACACGACCACCTTTTCAACCTTTTTTTCCAAGATGTCTTTCATAATTTTGCACATTTTTCAAAATTTTTCAAACTTTGTCTTTTTCTCTTCCTGTTTCTTCTTCGTCTTCTGGGCTTTCTGGTGTTTATTCACACTTCTGGAGACTTGTGACTTGTCACCTAGGAAAACTAATCTTGTAAGATATTCATTAGTTGGAGTTTCTGGACAGTATCATATTGTGTGTGTGTTTATACACACATGTATTTTTAAAACTTGTTAACCTGCATGTCTTGGTTCCTGAGTAGTGTTAGATTACTTGGGTTTTTTTTTTTTGGTCTTTTTGAGACAGGGTCTCCCTGTAGCCCCAGCTGACCTGGAACTCGCTATGTAGACCAGGCTGGCCTCGAACTCACAGAGATCCGCCTGCCTCTGCCTCCCGGGTGCTGGGATTAAAGGCGTGTGCCACTATGCCTGGCTAGATTACTTGTTTTGATAATACATTGTTTAAGATTAAATTAGCCACTTAATAACTACCTAAAGATTCTTGGTTTAATTAAGGAGGAAAATCTATTTTCTCCTAATGGAAACTTGAGGAAACCTCCATTTCAGACACCTGCTGTACTTTTCGTTTGGGAATATTGAGTTGGAGATTCTGCATCTGTATGAATGGTAACTGTCCTACATGAGTGACTTTGATCCATAGTAAACTGAGGGTCCATAGCACCCCACACTGTTTGTCAAGTTCCTCTTGCTTAGAACATGACCATGGAGAGAATGGATACAGAGACACAAAATGAAGAGAAACTTTCCCCAAGGCCCGGGCAGAATGTGAAGTATTTTTTGTTTGAGACAGACTCTCACTATGTAGACCATGCTGGCCTCAACTCATAGAGATCCCCCCTTACTCTGCCTCTCTAGTGCTGGGATTAAAGGCATGCACTACCATACCTGGATAAGAATGTAAAGTACAAATAAGCCCGACTGACACTGGATATAAAATTTCAGGGGGTAAAATCCTACAATAGGTAAAACTCCTTATGGAATTGACTTTTCTCAGGCCTGGTGATAGCCAAAGGCTGGTCAGAGACAATATTTCTGCTTTTTGGGAATGTGAACTTGTAGGGTGCCAGAAGCCTAACTATATTACATACGAACATGTGATTAAAGTACCACTTCTAGGAAGTATAGGGTGGCTTGGGATGGCAGTGCATGAAGACAGGAAAAAACTATGCTAGCACCAGAATTCTTTGTGTCTAAATACAGTCCTGGGTGCATGTGCTTGAGGATGGTTAGATGGCCCAAAGTACCTGTGTGTGTGTGCACGTGTGTGTGTGTGTATATATATATAGATATATATAATTTTTTTTAAAGTTATCTTTTAGTACCTGTATTCTTAGGTTCATTCATTCAGCTTTGGAGCCCTGTTCTGAGTGGGCTGGAATCTCCGGAAGTGGGACAGAGTCTCAGAACTTCCAGTTGTACTTATCCCCCAGAGCTGAAGGATTGAGGAGAGCAAATAATAGTAGTCATCTGCTTTGCTCCTTGTCCAGCTTCAGGGGTGTGACTGTCATGCCAGTAAGCAAACCTGGTTGATCAAAACCACATTGGCTATCCCAGTCCCCTCAGTGTTCTAAGTTCCCATCAGGTCTAGTCATATTTGTTCCTTTGAGGTATGTGGGACTCTGCCAGCAGATGATGGCCTATCTCAAGTGCCTTCCGAACCTAACTCTGCTCTTCCAAAACTTGTATCCCATTCAAACGTAGAATCCCTGTGGAGAGGACAGGCTGTATCACCTAAGGGGCTCATAGTACCTACATTGCAGGGAACATATGGATGGCCAAGTACCTATTCTCTTAGGACCCTGCCTGTGGTGTCTGCAATGTCCCCTGATCCTGGGGCCCAGCACAGCTGGCTAGGCTTGAAAGCAACAGGTGAGATGATGAATGTTCTGGCTGGCATCCCTGGCTACTCCTATGGGACAGGAAAGTGGGGAGAGGGAGCAGGGTGGGTAGGCTAGAGCAGGCCTCAGAAGTCTCCCCAGGCCTTTCCCATCAGGAAGCACATCCTGTTAGTGTCTGGCTCTGTGGCAGGGCTGCTATTTGTTGCAGTTGGCTACGCCCTCCTGCTCACCAAAAACAGCCTCAAAAACAACCATTTCCTCTCTGCTGAGAGACAGGGAAACGGGAGCTCACACATACATGCATTCACACATTTCCTTGCAGCAGGCACTCTGCTTTCCAGGTCCTGCCCTTTGTGGCAGAGGCACCAGATTGGGGTGCAGGCAGCAGAAAGGTGGCCAAACCCATACCACTTCCACAGTCTTGTTCCTCTGATTGGAGTGGCTTCCACAGCTCGTTCTAAGGAACGTGATTCCCACACTGTGCCTACCTCTTGAGTTACTTTCTGTTTTGTACTGCTGCAGGCAAGAAGAGGCACTGTGGACACAGCCTCCCTGGCCTCTGTTCCAAAGAAGAAGGCCCACTCACAACTCTGGATTCTCTCTGGTGCCCCAGATTCCTCCGTGGGATGGGCCTCTTGGCAATCAGCTTTAGCACAGGCCTGTCCCTGCTACAAGTGCAGGAGGGAGGATAAGGCAGGGCCGTGAGCAGCTCACCTGGACCGTCCCATGGGCTTCTCCCCACACCTCGGACATTCCCATGTGTCTGGCTGGAGCTGCTGCATAGTTTCCCAAGGATGAGTGGTGATGTTCTCTAGCCACCCCTAGTAGCATCTTGGCTCTCCCTGGATGCACAGCAGCTGACTGGGACTTGGGATTTTTTTCCGAGATAGACAGCACTGGCAGTCAGCTATGACTGTCCAGAAACTTGTGGCCATAGCTGTGCTGGTGGCCCTTGTTTCTCTCATCCTCAACAACGCGGCAGCTTTCACTCCCAACTGGGTGTACCAGACGCTGGAGGATGGGCGCAAGCGGAGTGTGGGGCTATGGAAATCCTGCTGGCTGGTAGACAGAGGTCGAGGAGGCACAAATCCTGGCACCCGAAATGAGCAGGTGGACACACAGGACTGTGAGGCACTTGGCTGGGGCTCTGAGTCAGCAGGTTTCCAGGAATCTCGAGGCACTGTCAAACGTAAGTCTGCTTATTTTTCTGTCACCTTATGTTGGTTAGATGAGGAGAAGTTGCACTTAGGCTGTTGGTGGGGTCAAAGAAGATTGGCCTTATGTCCACCCTGGAGGGCAGTGCTACCTGACTCTCCTGCTGGGCCAGATTCTGCCTCTGGCTTTTTTCACTTTATGTGGTTGAAGGCATTCTCTCTCTGCCATTGTGCGTGGCTGAAGGATGAAAGATGCTAATCAAATCAAATCCAATCAAATCGAGGAAAGACATTTTTCTTTGGTTGAAAAGAAATATTACTAATAAGTAAAATGAGAAGTGTAAGCACATGTGGGTGAGTTCTGACTTTATTTCCAAGGTGGTCAGGGCTTTTAGGGCTGTGACAGCATCAAAGGAGACTGGCTGGGAATGTGTGGGAGATCAGTGGAGGCTTGTGATGACAAAGGGCAGAGTGGAGGCTCAGAAGGATAGAGTGCTTCCTGCCTCCTGTGGCCTTCTCTTTTCCCAGCTATCTTGTCCTAGGGTCTATATACTGCCATGGAAGTTGGGAACTTAACTTTAAAATGGCACTCAAGTTTGAGGGTTCAGGAAAAAAAGGTTACATAAATACACTTGTTAACTAAAATAGTCATGCTTATATGACAGCCTCACAAAACTGCCGACAAGGGGTCTCGATCATAAGTACAGTTTCTACTACAAACCAGCATGGAGGCTTAAGGTCAGATGGCTGCCATCTAGAAGACAGTACTGATTTTTAGAAAGCATGACACTTAGGTGGGCATTTGCTCAGTGCTCTCAGAGGGTCTTCTGAGTGATATGCCCAGTGCAGCTACCACCTATCAGCCCTGTCCCTGATCAGCAGAGGACTTGCAGCCCAGGCAGGGCTCATCTCCATCTCATAGGTAGAGACACTGAGGCCTTACAATGGGACAGGGACAGGTCAGCCTCTCTTGGCCTTGAGAGAGAGGGAGTAATAGGCTCTTTTAGTTTTTTTTTTTTTTTTTTTTTTTTTTTTTTTTTGTCTTTTTGAGATAGTCTCCCTGTAGCCCCAGCTGGCCTGGAACTCACTATGTAGACCAGGCTGGACTTGAACTCAGAAATCTGCCTGCCTCTGCCTCCTGAGTGCTGGGATAAAAGGAGTGGGCCACCACACTGGGGTTGTAATAGGCTTTTCTTGAGAAAAAGATCAAAGCACATGAATATTTTTAAAACTTCTATGAGCTCTCGTCCTCTTCCGGGGAAGGTATTTGCAGGCACTCAGAATGGTCCAGTGTTTGACATACTGTTGTAGGCTTTCCTGCAGCACAGCCTCTAACAAAACTAGGCTGTCCCAAACCCCTGGTAACAGGATTGTTTACCTTTATACCAAGAAGGTTGGGAAAGCACCAAAATCTGTGTGTGGTATATGCCCAGACAGACTTTGAGGGGTTCGTGCTGTGAGACCTAAAGTCCTCATGAGATTGTTGAAAACAAAAAAACACATCAGCAGGGCCTATGGTGGTTTTATGTGTGATAAATGTGTTTGTGACAGGATCAAGCATGCTTTCCTTATTGAGGAGCAGAAAATTGTGAAAGTGTTGAAGGCACAAGCACAGAGTCAGAAAGCGAAATAACCATAAGGCTTTTCTAAGTAATAAAAGCCACAGCCTATTCTATGAAACAAAACAAACAAAAAACAAACTATGAGCTCTCAGAATTAAAGTATCTTGTGGGAGACCAAAACGCTGAACTTGGGCCTCTGTGTGATGTGTCAGGAGAGCACGCTCCCTCTGAATTCTATGATCATTCTGGCTAAACAGGAAAACTAGTAACCTTGAAGCTCTATCAAGGTTCTCCTGTGGGCTGTGGCTCTGCCAAACCCTGGAGGCCTCAAGCCTTGGGTAGGGGCAGATGTAGGCAGAGGCTCTTGTCCCATGCCTCTCACTGAGCTCTGGGATCAGTTCATTCTGAACTGCAAAACCTCCCAATAGCCCAGGTGTCACTTGTGACTGTGTGTGCAGTGCTGTCTTCCTTTCCCTGTTTTTTGTGCTCCAGCAGGTACAGCCTTGGAGCATCTTGTATAGCCATCTTGTTCTTTCTGTTCTTCTGTTGAGGCCTGTTACCTTAGGCCACTAGGATACACAGGGTCTCCATTGCCTCCTCCCTGCCCATATATGTATGAGGGCATGGTGGCCTTGGATGCTCCTGCCCTGTGTGCCCTGCATCTGCCCTCCCTACTTGTATGATCCCAAGGTTCCTACCTGGCTGAATCTGCTCAGCTTCCTGGACAAAATAAAATACCCTCTAAAACTGGGCTAGTGGTGCATGACTGTAATATCGACACCAAGAAACTGAGTCCAGGGGATCATGAATTAAGACGACAGCATGTGCTACATAGTAAGTTCCTGTCTCAAAAGATGAAAAACCCCTTCTGCAAGTAATGTGGCATTTCTAGGTAGCTGATCCTCAATGACTATATTCAAACAAAAATGTCACCGAGAAGCTTCTTGGGAGTGAATTAATAGGATGAAATTTGTGAAAACAGGCTAAATAGGTAATTTTGAATGCTAACAAATTCTAACACACATTGAGACCAAAATGCAGTAGGAAAAAAAGCAGCCATAAGTCAGCATTTCCTGAGGGGAAGCTGGTCCCTAATCCCCGGGTTAGGGATGTGGACTGTTTGGCTCTGTGCCCAGTGGCCTGAAAGTAGAGATAATGATGTTGGTCTCTTCCTCCTATCTTCTCTCCATGAACTCTGCTCCTCACATGTGCCAACCACTCCAAATCAGCTCATCCACATGGCCAGTGATGCTGCCCTAACCTACATGCACCTGTGTCTCCAGCCTGCTAGACTACTAATTCAGGCCCGTGACACTCACACAAAACACTATGTGACCCAAGAGGGTCCAAAAATCAAACTTCTAGCAAGGGGCAGCTGTGTAAATGCAGCTTCCTAGAGAGGTTGCATTAACTCAGGGGTAATGTCCTTTATGACCAAGCAAAGGTTCTTTATACATCCTCTAACACAGGATGGACATGTCAATCTATGTCACAGAACTGACTGTGTGGCTTGCTCATAATTCCATTCTGAGGAACAGCCTAGGATATGGGGGCAAGGGTACCAGACAGGCTATATAATCCATACTGCACTCTTCACAAGCACCAGGGCATCCTTAGCATTTCTAGATATTGCTGGTGGGGCCATCTGGCAGGGTCATCTCTGCTAACTCTGTGTCCTGAGCTCTTATCTGTAGAGTGCATGGAGTTGGAATCACTCAGTGCTTTTTGACTGCAAACATCCATGGGACCTGCTGACCTGAGATGAAGCATGAACATGTATGCCATTCCATGACATCCTGAAATCTGGTCAAAGGGCTCTCTGCTTCTAGATCTCTTGAGCGCACTGGATGGGGCTGTGGTTCATCCAGGTCAGGCCCAGGCCTCTATGCCTTTCCTATGTCATACTGGGTCTTCCCCAAGAGGGTCATGGGGATTTTCCACCAGCTGCCTATTTTGCTCTGTGGTGCCCAGAGCCTTTACTACTGATTAGGGACTCTCATCACTCTCAGAAACTGAAGCTCAGAGGCCAGGGATCTACCTGACTACCTGAATCCAGGTTCAGTCTCATTCTTGTCATTACTTTCTCTCATTTCTCATATTCATTATGCTTCCCACAGCTTGCGTACTTGGTCAGGGATCCTTAGTCCTTTTACTGATCCTAGGCTTCACATGAACAATGAACATAAAACTGAACCTGACATAGATCAGCTGAACCCTGGGCAGCCCCTGAGTGTCTCCACACACCCTTGTCACTCTGGATACTTGACCTGACAGACTGCTTGGCTAGGCACATTTGTACCATGTTCTTACAGACACATCTATGCTCTGCATACAGGCAGTACAACAGGTGAAATGCCAGGCTCTCAGTAGAGGTCAGCAGCTTCAAAGGGAGTGATTCCTTCTCAACAGGTGGAGCTCTTCAGCATTCTGTGTGTGATTCAAGGGGACTTTACTCAGGTAGGGGCTGGCTAGGTAGCCCAAGGAGTAAGTGACTTTGCTGAGTCTGTCATGGCGTATGGCAGAGCACCGAGTACTTTAAGCTTCCAGGGAGGTAAGAGCCAGCTGAGGTAGAAGACAAGAGGGCATGGCAGAAGGCAGATGGACATGCCAGCAGTCAGTCTGCACTCTCCTTCTGGCTTAGGAGCCAGTCTTTTGGCTTTACTGCACAGACATGTAAACCTACAGCTAACTCTCCTCCCAACTAGTCTTGTCATTTGTTTAGCTCTTTCCTGGCCTTCCAGATGAAGTTTTGGATGCCTGCTAGCCTATTTATGACTGTTAACATTCAACATCACCTAACACCTTCCAATTCTACCTTTAAAAAAAAATCAGGCCAGGTGTGGTGGCGCATGCCTTTAATCCTAGCTCGGGAGGCAGAGGCAGGTGGATCTCTGTGAGTGAGTTCAAGGCCAGTCTGGTCTACATAGTAAGTTCCAGGACAGCTGGGGCTACAGGGAGACCCTGTCTCAAAAAGACCCCCCCCAAAACAAACAAACAAACCAGCACTCTGGAGGCAGGGGCAGGCAGATCTCTTTGAGTTCCAGGCCAGCTGGGGTTACAGAGAGACCCTATCTCGAAAAGACCAAAAAAAAATTATTTTTATGTGTATGATGAGTATTTTGCACCCATGTCACACAATGCCTGTGGAGGCCAGAAGAGGGCGTTGGAACCCCTGGAACTGGAGTTACAGAGGGTTGTTAGCTCCCATGTGGGTGCTGGGAACTGAACCTAGGTCCTCTACAAGAGCAGCCAGTGCTCTTAACCGCTGAGCCATCTCTCCAGCCCCATTTTCTTTGGCATTTTCTCACTATGTAGATCAGGCTGGCCAGGAACTCACAGAGATCTATCCATCTCTGCCTCCTGGATTGGTGGGATTAAAGGTGTGTACCACCATGCCTGGCACTTCTACCATCTTTTAAAGTAGTATCTGTGGTAATCTTAAGTCACAGTTTCTTTTTCTTTTTTTTCAGGCA